TCTGCCTTCAACATTTGCCATGTCTATAGCTTCAACATTTTTTATCTGCCTTCAACATTTGTCATCTCTATCTTCAACATTCGTTATCTGCCTTCAACATTTGCCATGTCTATAGCTTCAACATTTTTTATCTGCCTTCAACATTTGTCATCACTATCTTTAACATTTGTTGTCAACAATTGTTTCCCGTTTCATCATTGATTGTTATTTGATTCTCCAACATTCGTTTCCCCGACATTTCAGGGATCACAAGCGGGGATAAGCGCCCGAGAGTGCGACCGAGGATTCCTGGGAGAGGCAGAGGAGATGTGCAGCGGGGAGGATGAGGAGGCGTGTATCCTGGATGCTGGCAAAATGCTCGTAGCCGTCGTACGGCACGAATACCTGCCAGGCAACGGTCCCGCCACCTGTCGGCGCAAATGTGTGTACGATTATATCGTTGGTGAGGACGCGAACGATATCGATAAAAAATAGAACGCGGTCGTTGTCACATACTTTGATTCGGATCGATGATCGATCGAAGAGATCAATGCGTACTCACTTGCCCGTGTTAGCAATAATATTAAGATTATAGGAATGTGTGTTTGGAAGATTTAATTTACAAAATAGAGTCGAAAAGAAAACAGAGCAGTAATAACTGATAGGACTGCAATATCTGATGGTGGGTGTATTGAATCTCTGAGCAGTGAAAATCGTTATTTTTCTATATTTACCTACCCAATAAAGATGTACGAGGGGCATACTGAGCTGTTAAAAACATGCGAGATCTCCAGAATTTATGCTATAGTCCTCTATCTACGATACTAATTATGGGTAGCATGAAATATAAAAGTTGCTATAAAAAGTTATAAAGATACAAAGCTATGAGTATATGCGAATACCCAAAATGACAGAATATATACTCTCGTATTAGACTATACGAGATATAAATATAAACGTAGGTGTTATGGAACACTCGTAACCAGTGCATCTACGAATTCACACGAATATCTTAGACGTAGCTACACCAATTAACACCCTAACGTGTGTTAACAACAATTATGTGTTAACAACACATAGTAACGTGTTGTTACTATGTGTATAGTAAAGAGTCGCATCAGGAAACAACAGAAACAAAGTGTTGCGATTGTTTGCAAAAGATTTGAGGATTCGATTGTGTTTCCAAACATACAAGAGTTTGCGTTCATATACAGTCAAGCTTGACGCGTGCATAAATAGAGAAAATGAATCAACAAGGAGAGTTAGTATACACGCGGTTATGCAGGCACGACGTTTCATTTAATGGCTTCCACCTTACTGTAGATAACACAACTTCACAGAGGTAGCCAGATTTTAAATCATCTTTTGATAGCTGGAGTGTCTCATTCAAGTCTGTAAAAATACTTCGTTGATACGTCAACAGCAAATCGCTGCTAGCGAACGATGGCAATGTGTACAACGCGGTATATAGTGAGATTATAACGACAGATTCAAGCAAGTATGACGTACCTATGTTTCCCGTGTGAAGTATGTAAAAAATAGGTAAAATTCCAGGAGATATTTATTATACACTTCCACGCTCGCGTCTTCATATAGATTGATTTGATGTTTGTTTATTGATTTGTTAGAGAGCTTACTCATCTGGCTTTCTGTGCACTTTGCAGTGAGATAGATAAGTGCCTATATTTATGTGGTGTAATAGTATACGTTCTACTCGGTTAGGCTTCAATGAAGAAATATCGGATTCCATATAATACGGATAATAAATTCTATGTTTTAACAGATTGGAATGCAATTGTGCGATCACTATTATCTCTTCATCAGAATATGTCAATATCACCAATAAAATATGTAAAAAAATATAGTCCTGATGTCCTATGTTTGTTTGGAGCTGCAATTATTCGACAGGATCAAATAATAGATTATAGAGCTCATGCATGCTCTCTCTCTCTCTCTCTCTCTCTCTCTCTCTCTCTCTCTCTCTCTCTCTCTCTCTCTCTCTCTCTCTCTCTCT